GGATGGGCGTAGGCGAAGGTGGAGGAAGAAGGTGTAAGGTGCTTGGCTATGGTGGATGGGTGTAGGTGGAGGTGGAGGAGGAAGGTGCAAGGTGGCTGGCTATGGCGGACGGGTGTAGGTGAAGGTGGAGGAAGAGGGTGTAAGGTGCTTGGCTATGGTGGATGGGTGTAGGTGGAGGTGGAAGAGGAAGGTGAAAGGTGGTTGGCTATGGCGGACAGGTGTAGGTGAAGGTGGAGGAAGAGGGTGCAAGGTGCTTGGCTATGGTGGATGGGTGTAGGTGGAGGTGGAGGAGGAAGGTGCAAGGTGGTTGGCTATGGTGGACGGGTGTAGGTGGAGGTGGAGGAAGAAGGGGCAAGGTGGTTAGCTATGGTGGATGGGCGTAGGTGGAGGTGGAGGAGGAAGGTGCAAGGTGGTCTGAGTTTTCCTTTGGACATCCGGTCATGTTGGATAGCTGCAGTGGAGGGGTGAGGGGGATGATGAAGGAGGTGACAGGGTGCAAAGTGACCTTGGCCCTGCGTCGTCCCCTACCCGAGTGTTTGGGCCCGTTGCCCGCCGTTCCCCCTAATCCCCGAGGCAAAATACGGTCTACAACACTTCATCCTACAGCTAACATGCAGAAAACTCAGACTTTGCAGCAGGCCCAGTTGGTAGAAAAACACAGAATTTGCAGGTTTGTGGATTACGGTAATTTTACCGTTTTTTTTTGTTTTCCGCCTAAGGTCAAAATTGGGGATAGTCATCCCTGTGTTTCCTGCCCCAACCACATCAGAATCACCCAAAATTTGGTGGGCCCCCTCACTGTATCACAGGGAAGACCTCCACAAAATTTGGTTTCATTCTGACGTCGTTTGGGTTAAGTTGCCCGTTTCGGACGTCGGCCGGCTACGGGTGAACAGTTCGGAGGAAGTCCGTTTTCTGATTTTTTTAGAAAACGGACTCCGATGACCTGCTGGGTCTGCAGGCCACTTGTTTATACTCAGAACATGAGGTCTGAGAAATCTCAG